TGGGGTGAGTTATACTGCCAGGTCAGGGACGCGAACAGCAGTCAACTACATGGGAGTCCAATGACGTAACCATTATTCCATTTGTTGGTCCCACATTTTTTTATTTTTTAAGAGATATTTTTGCTATAGGGTGTGTGTACTCGCTGGAAAGACAAAGACAGAAAGCGAGAAATCACCCCCCCTCCCCCCCAGTGGGGATGGTCATGCCACAGTCCCTTCTCCATTAGCCTCCTGGGATCTTACTCTGGCGTGAGTTTCAAGTCGCTGGGTACAGAACTTGAACCATGGTCGGCCATGTGGGAATCCATCAATATAAACACTATACCATCTGCTGATCTCACTGAGTTCATTTTTTTTTAATTGCAGCTATCTAACTCATGTGTAGAAAGATCTTGTACTTTTAATTTATGTTTTCCTAAAATCTAGTGAGCATCTTTTTAGGTGCTTACTTTACATGAAGTATCCACTTTGGTGAAATATCTATTTGAATCTTTTGCCCATTTTAAAATAAGTTTGTCTGTCTTCTGAGTTATGAGAGTTCTTTGTATGTTCTTTATACAAGTACTTTATCAAATATGTGATTTACAGATCTTTTCTCCCAGTCTGTGGCTTTTTTTTTTTTTTTTAAATTGTTAGAAAGCACATACACTTGTCAGAGAGAGGGGGGAGAGAGAGAGAAAGCACTCCCCAACAAGGTCATGCCACAATCCCTTCTCCTTTTCTCCATGCTGTCAGGATTTTGGACAGGCTACACATGTACCTTGTATGTTTTGTAAGCCCTGGGGCGGGGTGCTTGGGTAGGACGGGGAATCAGACCGTAGTTGGGTATGTGGTATCTAGCTCCCATAACTAACAGGCTACAGGGCTGGCACAAGGCTGTTTTTTGAATCATAAAGGTTTTTGGTTTTTGTTTTGCTACAAGTGTATGTGTGCTTGCCAGAGAGAGACTGAAAGGCAGAGAGAGGAGAAAGCTTCCTCCATGGGAAATGGTCACGCCATAATACCTTCTTTCTCTATCCTTCTAGACTTTGGGGCACGCATGCATACCTACTCAGCATGTTTCTTTTTTTTTCTTTTCTTTTCTTTTTTTTTTTTTTTTTGGAGGTTTTAATTAATGGACCGTGCGGCTGTGGTTTTCACTATAGGGCGCGTGCGCTCGCCAGACAGAGAGAGAGACATAGAGACAGAAAGTGAGAAATCACCCCCCAGAGGGGATGGTCACGCCACAATCCCTTCTCAATTCTCCTCTCAGGATCTTGGGCGGGCACGCACGCACATGCGCCCGGCGTGAGTTTTAAGCCACCGGGTCCGGGACGCGAACCACGGTCGATTACGTGGGAGTCCAGTGACATAGCCATTACGCTAACTGCTGGTTCCCACCTACTCAGCATGTTTCTAAAGACAACTGGTTTGAGACTCAAACTGTATGGCTGGCCATGTGGCAGCCATTTGTCTTAACCATCAGGCCAGAGAGCCAGCCCTGAATCACAGAAGTTTTATATTTCTGATAAGGTCTGGTTTATTAAGTATTTTTCTATTGTGGATCATGCTTTTGGAGTCATATGTAACAAGTCTATCCAATTACAGGTTGAAAACATTTTTTCCTGTATTTTCTTTTAGAAATTTATAGTTTCAGCTGATATTCAGCTCTATGATCCATGTGTACCGTAAGGGTCTGACTTTGTATTTTTATATGCATATCCAGTTATCTCAGTGCCATTTGTTAGAAGATTTTTTTTTTCCTGTTGAATTGTCGAAACAATTTTGTTAAAAATCATTTGATGACAAATACAAGGATTTGTTTCAGGAGTCCCAATTCTGTTTCATTGATCCATATGGCTGTTTTTGAACCAATACAACACCATCTTGATTGATTGCGACTTTACATTATAAAGCTTTGAAAGTGGGTAGTACGGAAGCACCATCTCCATTTGTTTTAAATTTTGCTATAGGGAGCATACACTCATCCGAGAGAGACAGAGACAGAGAGAGAGAGTGAGAAAGCACTCCCCAGGGGCATGGCCATGCCACAATTCCTTCTCTCCCATTTTCTTGGGATTTTGACGAGACACACACATGTGCCCAACACATTTCTCAAGCCACTAGGTCTGGGACTTGAGCCACACAGTCACATGGGATTCAGCTGCCTTAACCATCACACATTCCCTCAAAATTGTTTTATTTTAGATTCTTTACATTTATTTTCATACAAATATTCAGATCATTTTGTCAGTTTCTACAGAATAGTCTATTTGGATTTTGATAGGGGTAGGTTAAATTTACCGGTCAATTTTGTAAGAAATGCCATTTTGACAGTATTTTGTCTTCTAGTCCATGAACATTAAGTATATCTTCAATGATTGAAATCTTTAAATTTGTTTTTAATTTATTAAAGAAGGGCACATGCACTTGCCAAAGAGACAGAGACAAAGAAAGCAAAAACTCAACCCCCAGTGGAGATGGCCATGCCACAATCCCTTCTCCATTTTCCTCTCAGGATTTTGGGTACACGTGCACACGCATTCAGCATGAGTTTTAAGCTGTGAGGTCCAGGACTTGAACTGTGGTCTACTACATGGGAATCCAGTGACATAACCATTATGCCATCTGCTTGTCCTGAGATATTTATTTCAGCAGCATTTTTCTGAAATGTGAAAGACTTATATTTTTCTTGTTAAATTTATTACTAAAAATATATTTTTAAGTTTTATGTATTCATTTGTTCACCCACACACAGGTATTCTTGATAGGGTCTCACCATGCTGTAGACGTTCCCAACATTCTATCCATGTAAAATCATGAGTGTGCTTGTGGGTACTCTTGGAGCGTTGAGGTCACCTGATGGCCCTGACTGGAGCCTTCCAGTATGGCTCAGTAATGTGCAATGGCCCCTGCCACTTGCAGCATTATGGCTGAGCCTCTTCCTCTTGATGCTGTTGTGAATGTAATTATTATTTTTTATTAGAATATTTATTTATACATAGATATCTAATTGATTTTTGAATATTCCTCTTATATCCAGAAACCTTGCTAAACTCATTTATTTAACATTACTTTTTTGGTAGATTTTGTTTGATTTTATTTTTCTACACAGATACCTGTCGTCTGAAGATATTGACAATTTTACTTCTTCCTTTTTAATTTGGTCACTTTTTATTTATTTATTATACCTTAATGCAATGGCTAGAACCTCTAGCACAGTTCAGATAACGTGGCAGTGATTGCATACATTGTGGCCCTGCTCTGATCTTCAGGAAAGGGCATTATGACTTTCATCATTAGGTATGTTAACTACAGATTATTTCTAGATGGTGCTTTTCAGATTAGGGGAGTTTTCTTGTATTCCTAATTTGCTGAGAGCTTTTATTGGGAATGGATGATAAATTTTGTCAAGTGCTTTTTCCATATCAACTGTTATGATCATGTGGCTTTTACCAGTTCATAATAGGGTTTTGTTGATTTTCAAAAGTCACTTTTTCCTCAGCGTGTTTTTTTTTTATCTTTCCTTTTTTAAAAAAAACAGGGGAGAGTGCGAACGCAGTCCCCCACTCCTCAGCGTGTTTTTAAGATTTTTCTCTTTAGCATTGATTTTCAGCAACTTAACAATGTTGTGCCTTTGTTTGGTGCCTGTGTGTTATGATTTTTTTTTTAACTTCTTCATTTGGTTTTTATCAGTTTAGGAAATTCTGGTCATTTAAGAATTTTTTTTAAATTTTTTATTCATGATACAGGGCAGGACACGAGCACACATGTGAGAGAGAGAGAAAGAAGAGAGCACCTTCCAAAGGCTCTGATCACTGCAGTCCTCTTTCTCCATCTGTCAGATCTTGGGCACTCATACATATGTCCAGCATGTTTCAGGCTAACTGGGCTGGGAATTTGAACTATGGTCACCATGTGGGATCCACCTTCTTTGGAGCAGTGCACTAACAGTCTTATGTACTATTTTATTTTGGATTTTGGCATAGATTTTTGATTACATAAATTTTTAAAAAAGATTTATTTATTTTTATTTATTCATTCATTTATTTTAATGACCAGAGAGACAGAGAGGGGAAGTGAGAAAGCAAGCCACCAGGTCCAGGACTTGAACCATGGATGGCCATGTGGGAGTGTCCAGCACCTTAACCACCATGCAACCTTCTGGTCCCTGAGTATTACAAAATTTAAATCACGAGTCCTCATTTAGTTTTATTTTTTAAGAGATAATTTTTGCTGTGGGGCACATGCACTCACCAGAGAAACAGAGAGATATAATGTAAGAAGTCATGTTGTATCCACGAGGGATGGCCACACTGCTGTCCCTTCTCCATTTTCCTCTTGGGATTTTGGGCATGCACGCACATGTGCCTGGTGTGAGTTTTAAATTGCCGGGTCCGGGTTTCGAGCTGTAGTCGACTATGAGGTAGTCTAGGGACATAACTATTACACCATCTCTTGGTCCCCTCATTTAGAATTGCAAACACATATAACATAGGCTTTATATGTTCCTGAAAAGGAAACGCATGAGGTAACTGCTTTACTGTGGTACAGCATGTCTTGCTTAACAACGGAGATACAGTCCGAGAAATCCTTTGTGATTTCGTCATGGCACAAACTTCATGGAGTACTTAGCCAAACCTAGATGGTGTATCTTACTATAAACCTACGCTATTATCTTTTGGAAGCACATGTACGTATTCCATTGTTGACCAAAATATTATGTGGTTCATGACTGCTTGCTTGGTTTTAACACTGTAACTCTTATTTGGTTATATTGGTGTTCATAGTTTTGTTTCAAAATAATTGTTATAAGAGTCATTTGTGTGTTAATCATCTTGTTTGTGTAACAGAAACTTGTTACTCTTTTGGTAAGGAGGGATAACATTTTAAAAATCTCTATAGAAAGTATTTGTGTTATAAAATATATGTAAAATGTATGTTTTTATCTAGATTTTTCAGAAAAAAGTGTAACCACCTATCAACAATTCAGTTGCATGAGATGTTTTCCCTCTTCACAGGTTCAGTTTAATTTGCAATTTACAAAACCAAATACATCACTAGGAGATGCTCAGTCAGGAGCCACTATTAGTATGCCTTCCTCAACTGACAAGGAAAAGTAAGTATTCATTGAGATAAAATTTAATGTTTATCTTTTTTTTTTTTTTAAAGGTATGTATTTGTTTCATGAGAGAGGCAGGCACCCTAGACAGCGTCTCACTGTGCCATAACACTCCCCTGTCCCCACCTCCCACACCCTCCAAGCCTAGCTGGGATCATGGGTGCACACATGGTGCATCTTGTGTGTTCGAGCTGACCTAGGGTCTGAGATCCCGGCCTTCTCATATGGCTCCAGCATTGCACATTGATACCCTATTGCCTGCGACACCATGCCTGGGCCATGTTTGCGTTTTGAAGGCCATCTTGAATTTTTACTGAGCCTGAAATCTTTTAGATGCCTACCTGTTTTCCTGAGACATTTTGGGTTGCTGTTTGAGTTACTTTTAGCCATAAAAAAGTTTGTCTTTTTTTTTTAACTATAGTAAGTTACTCTTGGATGTACAGTAAAATTTTTTCAGATTTTCCTGCATAACCAAAGATTGCCCTCAAATATCCTTGGAAATGTACATGGAAATATTTTTAAATTCCTTATACTCAGCTGTTTTTATTTTCCTGTGTGCTATGTCTACCCTCAGAACCTTTCAATTTTTCTGATTTACTGCTTCCAATGTAATCTAAGAAATCTGCTATTTAATCTGGTAGAAATATATGATGAATAATAGCAATGTTTTTTCTGAAATTATCCCATAAATAGCATAAATTAGTTTTACTGCAAATTTATGACTTCTGTTTTGCCTGCTATTCCTTCCTGATTTTTTAGGTATTTAGCAGGTTTTATGTAGTGAAGTTTGTTGAGATGACTTGTGGTTAATAGACTCATACATGCAGACTTTTCCTGTTTGTAATTTTTTTTTAACATTTTGTTTCCTTAGTTAAATTATAATGATTTTAAGGCCTATCTGTGACACTCATTTATTTTCTTTTTTTTTTGAGAGGAATTCATTAATAGTATGAATACCAAAACGTTTATGTATCTGTATCTAATCATCATATACACCAAGACCAATTTTACTTTGAAAAAATATAATAATTTTATGTGTAGTATAAAATCAAACAATTGTCTGTCCATAAAATTAGGACTCTTTGGCAGTATTAAGTTTTTTCTGTTGATAATTGGTTTATTATTCTATTCATTGTCAGCTAGCAGCAAAGTATGTTAAAGGTTAAAGGGGAAAAAACAAGAGATAAAATTTAAGAAACAATTCACCACTGATTTTTCTAAAAATAGAGAAAAGACCATCTTTTAATTTTAAGGATATATTGTCAATATTTTGCAAGAGCCTTTAGCTCATTACAAGTGTACTATTAGGCATAATATTAACACTGGGCAGACTTAGAAAGTAATACATCTATAGGTAGAAAGGTGAAAAATACAGGAATGTCCTTTTTTTTTCTTAAAAAATTGCATGTTTGTAGTCACCTGACCAGAATTCATTATTTTATTGAACATAATATGCATTAATAAGTTGATAATGACCACTCTGAAGTACAAAAAAATTTGGAAGAACTTCTGGTCAAAGGAAAAGGAAATCTATTCATTATTATTATTATTATTTGGAGAGGTTTTTGCTACAGGGCGCGTGCGCTTGCCAGAAAGACAGAGACAGAGAGATAGAAAATGAGAAATCACTCTCCAGGGGGGATGGCCATGCCGCAATCCCTTCTCCTCCATTCTCCTCTTGGGGTCTTGGGCACGCATGCACACGGCCCGGCGTGAGTTTAAACCACCGGGTCCGGAACTCAAACCGCAGTCGACTACATGGGAGTTCAGCGACATAGCCATTACGCTAACTGCTGGTCTCAGGAAATCTATTCATTTTATTTAATGTTTGAATTTTTTTATTTAAAAAAATTTTTGCGTGATGGTGTTTGCTCGCCAGAGAAAGTGAGAAAGCGTCCCGTAGGGGGCATGGTCACGCTGCAATCCCTTCTACGTTTCTCCCTCCTTTTGGGACTTCGGGCATGCATGCATACACACCTGGCATGCTTTTCAACTTGCTGGGTCCAGTTCTAGAACCGATTAGTTGGCTTTGTGGGATACATCTGCTTTAACCACCATGCCACTAGCTGGCTCTTCCTCATTTTAAATACAGGATGAGTTAGAAATGATCAAGTAAGGAAATGTTTTTTCTCAAGGCATGCACGTGTGTCTTTATTATCATGTATCACTTATGGACTACTGTTTAGAACTTCACAGTCCTCATAGTTTTCATTTCCCCCATAGTCCTCTGTCAGCCCTTATAATTTTTAGTGATTGTAATTTACTCTGTTAGAAAGGATACTTTGGTTTACGTACAGATGACTAATATTTGCCTAAGAAGACAGTGAAGAGGGCGAGGTGGTGGCATGGCAGTAAAACACAATGCTTGTGGGGTAGACCCACATGGGAAGGTTACTGGTTCACATTCTGACACCTCCATGAGGTATCAGCACTAACCCTTAGCTCACTGTGCCTGCTCCCAGAGGGCTGACGCTGGGAGTAGGTCAGTTTCAGGACCACTGGGAGTTGCTGTATTTCTCTCTCTTAGAAATAAACTTAAAAAAAAAAAAAAAAGTGAACATGTTCTGATAGAAGTTAAGCTGTAACTTAGTAACATTATATATATCCTATGCGTGTACATATTAGGTCAGCCTTCAAAATTAACTAATAAAAAGAAAATACTTTGTTAAAGTAATTACTACTTTCTTTTTTAAGCGGTGAAAATTTAGGGCTGGAATCTAAATACCTGAAAAAAAGGGAAGATAGCATTCCTCTGCGTGGACTCAGCCAGAATCTGTTTAGTAACTCAGGTGAGAAGACATTTCTGACCGGATTCTGTTCGTTGTGGTTATATTAAATGTACATGTAAAGACTTAAGTGAAACCCAGTCATCTCTTCTTGTCCTCACTTGCAGACCAGCAGAAAGACGGCCCGCTAGGAGCACTGCAGACATCTTCCAAAGCTGCTGTGCTCCCTTCTGTCTCGTCCGCCTATTTCCCTGGGCTGTTACCAAACAGTTAATTCTAGGGTTATCTTTTACTTTGTGTTATTTTAGAAACTCAGGTTGTTTAGAAATATATTAACAAAAGTCAAATCTTATGCAAATTTCAAATTTTATTTCACTTATTCTTAGATCATTTGGATCTTTTTATCAAATACTGCTATCACTAATAAAATAGCAGGTGGTGAACAAATTTCTATTTGAGAATTGGTAAAGATTAAGTAAATGGCATCTTTTGGTTTGTGAACATGGTGTTTTATTGGATAGCAGTATGAATTTTATTAAAGTATTCCTTAGAAATTCAGTTCTAAGGAAGGATTGGTCCTTATAAAGGGATATTCTAATTATATTGAAAATCTGGGTATATTAAAACCTGTTTAGACCATAAAAGTATGAAACCAAAGAATATTAATTCATTTTATCATTTTTACTGGTATAAGTTTTAAATTTGCCACTTGAGAATTATGAGGGAAAAATTATTATATCCTATGATGTCTATATTATTGGCATTTACATTAAAGGGACATTTCTAAAGTTGCCTTAAATGACAGAAATGAATTAAGTCTTCAGAGCAGGTAAATACAAGTATTTCACTTGAAACATTAAAATTAGTTATCATAAGTCTATTCAATACATTTGATATAAAAATAACTTGGACATTGTATTTACATGACCAGATTAGGTATCAAGTGCATTGGTCATTTGAGCTGAAAAGCTTTTAATACAGAATTTTAGTGTTTCCTGAAAGTTTTTCCCCTTAATTTGGAATTTTACTTACTTTATTAAATCCTTATCAGTGGCATTTTAAAACTTATGCTGTATTTTTAGTGTGATTGTTTGTAATTTACTCTTTACTGGGAAGGATACTTTGGTTTATGTACAGATGAATTAATATTTGACTGAGATGACAGTGAAGAGGGGCTACAGAAAATCTTCAACAGCATCATGAATAGTCATTGTGTTTGTCAAAACCTGGGTTCTTTTTAATGTTTACTTAATAAAGTAAGCAAAAGAAATAATTTAGAAATAGAACTTTTTTCTCTTCCCTACAATTAAATTTTAATTATGAATTGTCATTAGAGGGCCAGTCTGTGGCATGGTGGTTAAGGCAGCTGGATCCCATATGGCCGACTGCATAGTTTGAGTCCCGGACCTAGCAGTTTGGAAAACACTCTGGGCATGAGGGGTCCAAAATCCCAAGAGGAGACTAGAAGAGAAGGGACTGTGGCATGGCCATCTCCCTGGGAGGTGCTTTCTCACTTCCCTCTCTCTGCTGTGGACATACCCTATAGCAAAACTAAAAACAGTTGTTTGGGATAAAAATGATTTTTAAAACTTCACCTAGAATCATAGGGCCCCATTTTTGCTTTCTTGTTGACAGCTGTCCAACACAGAGTAGCATTCTATTGAGTCTTCTAAATCAACTTTTGTTTGCAAATACTTATGTGATAGCTTAAAATTTTTTTCGAGTTCTTTATTACACAAATGAAGGAGAGACATTTTTAAGATACCAGTGTTACCTGGGTTCCAGGATAAAACAAAGAATCTTTGCTACTTTTTAAAACGAAGCCATTATCTTACATCATATACTTGGAAACTGCTGGTAACTGTAGGTTGCCTCCAACTAGGAATCTAATCGGGAAACTCAGTCAGTGATATTAGACAGTAACATCCTCCCCTCATTTAGATATGTTAGTGACAATACTCTGTACAGTAACTTGAAAGTACTTATTAATCTGGAAGGAAGCCTCTTCACAATATTAGAATCAGCTTTGGTGAAAATACTATTGCAATGTACATAGAACGCTGTGACTGGAATATGACATACAGGTAGTTTTTAAATATAGATACCCTTTTGACATACACGAAAATGTCCAAAATACAGGCTAGAGATAATTTATAATATCAACCTGCTAAAGATTTCTTTGTGTATTAAATGTATATATACAAACTTCTGAGTGTGCTAATTCCTTGTTCTACCTCTTAAATTTTTATTTGAAATTGTTTTGCAGTGTAAAATTGTATATGTGTTGATAATTGAAATGTTACATTTAATATTATTTTTCTGTAAACTATGAGGTTTGTTAATAAAGTATTAAAATCAATGGGATAGAGTATGATGTATATAAAAGACAAGTACATTTTAAAAACTAGGATTGATATATAACATCTATGCTTAGGAAATCAACTTTTTCTTTTTTTTTTTTTGGAGAGGTTTTTCGCTATAGGGCGCGTGCTCTCGCCAGACAGACAGAGAGAGACATAGAGACAGAAAGCAAGAAATCATCCCCCAGGGTGGATGGTCACGCCACAATCCCTTCTCCTCCATTCTCCTCTCGGGATCTTGGGAGTTTTAAGCCACCGGGTCCAGGACACGAACCGAGGTCGACTATGTGGGAGTTCAGCGACATAGCCATTACGCTAACTGCTGGTTCCCGGAAATCAACTTCTTTTGGCTAATTTGCACACTAAATTTTCACTTCTTTCTGCTTATCTTTCTATAAGTATTCTATAGTGAGGGAAAAGAAATGGATTAAGAGGAAAAAGGGATAAAGCTTTGTTACCATAAAAAGTATTATGGTAACAAAGCAAACAAGCTCTATAGGGACTCACAGATCAAGACTTTTTTTTAAAAAAAAATTCATTAAAATATTTAATTTTATTAACAGAATATTTACATTTTAAGACCTTATTTAACCATAGTGAATGTTCCAAGTTTAAAAAGCATTAAGCAATAACCACACACAAGATGAAAACAGTGTAAACTATACAATACTTTATGTACAATTTTTACAAAGTAACACTTTTTTAAATAATATAACTGGACACAAAAATATACACTTTAGAGAAATTCACATCAGTAATTGTATAAAGCTCTCCTCTAGGGTCCTGAAAATTTAGGACAAACATTAGCTCTGTAAATAAAGTGTTACTGTGACAGTCCTGAAAGGCCACTATATATATTTATCTACATCTAGATATCACATTGACATTTTCAAGGCTACCAGCTTTACTATATAATTTTTAGATTATGTATTCAAGTGTTGAGGTTCTTATGATTATGCAAACAGTAAAAGAATAGTGGTATAAGAAGGAGCTGGGGAACAAATGTGAGCCAGCACTTAGCTTCACAGGCTCTAAACACCCCAATTTAAATTCTAAATGGCTGATACTTTCTTACTTCAAAAACAGTGGAGAATGTTTAAAACAAAATTACTGCAAATAGCTTGAAACATGATTCAGATTTAGTACAATTTTTTTCTTGAGTTTTTTTTAATGCAAACAACTCATTTACCATTTCTTTATTTTAGTGCATCTGCATTAAGGCTTTGAATTATTTGACCCAAGATTTTACAATATTAAAATCTGACTCAAGATTTTACAATGTTAAAACGAACAGGTCCACAACCATACTACCTACTCTGTCTCACTGAGTCAGTATAAATAGAGTTAAAGCTCAACACCTTAAGGAAATGGTAGCAGAGACGTATGCTAATATCTAAGAAGTTACATATATAGCTTTTAATTAAAGGATGAATAATAAAACAAAACAGCTTAGTGGCAAGAAACTGGTACTAATAAACAAAAGGTTTCTTTTCAAAAGAAATTGTAACATCTTTGGAAAACTGTCCCGTTCTTTCTTTAGTACTTTCCTTAGTTCCCACGGAGTTCATGCAGATACATTTCTTAAGACAATCTTAAAGTACACTGTGGATGGAAATGGAATGTACATCCAGAACTACAGGTGAAAACTAAGACCTGGGTGCTGATAGAAAAATCTTCCTGATCGCGGCCGTCAGACATTTGTGTCCTGGAGTAAAGGTTCTTTGGCCTCTCCTGGCGCTTGTGTACTGTGAGGATGGCTGTGACTGCCACAGTGCTTTCTCCAGCTGCTGGACCTTAAGCTTAAATTGGTGTGTTCTGGAATAAACAAGGCAACAAGCAGAGCCAGCAGTACCGAACAGGCTCCAAAGAGGAAGGGGGGGCCAGGGATGATGGAATTCTGAGGAAAAAGAAAATAATCAGGATTTTTACACAATTACTTTTATTTGTAAGAAACTTTTTTTTTGGTAACAACTGACTGCTATGAATTATAAGTTCCTCTTTATTAAAATGAGTTATAAACAGTATCCTTTTTCGAGAAAAAAGAGATAACTATTATACTCTCAGTATAAATTATAGGGGTAACAGCTGGCAAAACATCCAACACAAAAATATTCTGTCACTTTAAGCAGGAAACCTGACCACAGATATTCTGTAAGCCTTCATTTAATTTGTTAGTCCAAGAAGAAACAGTTGTAAGAAGATCCCAAGAGCAAAAATCAAGTAGCATACAATATTAACTACAGTAGCAGAATCATTTACTGTTTTGTTTCAAAAAGATTATTACATTCTCAAGTGACAAAGTAAGAAAAACAGCGCTGATACCACAAAAAGAAACATTCTTAACACAGACTTGCACTTCCAGTTTTACTTGTCTGTAGCCTACAAACATTATTTTAAAAATAAATCTTAGCTGTTGGAAAATTAGTGTACAATTCTCCCAAACAAGCCAGGAAACCGATGAGCTGTCTGAATTGGTTAAAGTGATCAGTGTTTGGCGTTAATATTTTCAGTTGTAAGGAGAGAAGTTTAGCAAACAAAGGAACAAAGGTATTTACCAGTACATCAACTGACTTTTCATACAGAAGGCAGGCTGAACACAGGGGACTGTGACATCACAAAAGTTGCAGGTGAAACACAAGTAGTAATGTAGAGAAATGGCTGTTTGACATTAGGTGTAATGTGACAGACTAGATATGTAAGTCATTTTTCATTCTCAAGGAGAAAACTATGTACAGCAAACTTCGTAAGATGGAGAATAGTCTCTTAGACTGATGTTTATTCAATCTAATGAGAACCTCACATAAAGGTTAATGTGACAGAAGAACATCATCATTTAATCCAATGAAAGAAACTATACAGTTTTATCCTGTGAATAAAGACTTACCTGTTCAAAATGGTGCTGAGGGCTTGTGTTTGTTCCTAAGTCTGTCCCTGTCATTGGCAGCTCTTTAAGTTCCACATGAAATATATAGAAAATGAATCCATAAAGGGCTGGTCCTAGACCATTGCACAGGCCTCGAATTCCTGTTATCATTCCTTGAACAACACCTGAAGTTTAAACAAATTACCATTTAGTATACTAACTTTTTTCTCCTACTCTATAACTACTACAAATATGAAAACACTGGATGTAAAATCAAGGGTTTGATTAGACATTAGCAATGTACCACAGTAGCATTTTAAACCACTTGGGGGCCCAGCAGATGGCATAATAGTTATGTCGCTGGACTCACACGTAGTCAGCTGTGGTTTGAGTCCCGGACCTGGCGACTTAAAACTCAGGCTAGGTACATGTCCATATGTGCCCAAAATCCCAAGAGGAGAGGGAGGAGAAAAATATGGTGTAGCCATCCCTCCTGGGGGATGGTTTCTCAATTTCTGTCTCTTCAGTGAGTGTACATGCCCTATAGCAAAAATCTCTCTTTAAAAAAAAAAGGAAAAACAGACCACTGGGAAGCCATTAGTGCTACAAAGTATAATGAACTATCCTGTGCAAACATCAGCTCAGATTTACCCTGTAAAGGTCTAACTAGGAACAAGTGGGTAAACACTCCACTTCCCTATATTTCAGCCTTTAAACTTCCAAGTTAAAGAATCAATCATGAGTTCACAAGTACCAGTTGTTAAAAACTGTTCCCAAGCAGTTATTTAAGACCCCTTTTAGTGGGACCAGCAGTTGGCATAATAGCTATGTCGCTGGACTCCCATGTAGTCAACTGTGGTTCAAGTCCCAGATCTGGTGGCTTAAAATTCACACCAGGCACGTGTGCATGCGTGCCCAAGATCCCAAGAGGAGAATGGAGAAGTGATTGTGGTGTGGCCATCCCTCCTGGGGGGTTATTTTCTCACTTTCTGTCTCTGTCTCTTTCTGACAAGCGCATATGCCCTATAACAAAAACGACAAAAAAAAAAAAAGACCCCTTTTAGTAACTCATTTAATAGTTTGACTGTTTTTAAATCTCTTTGAGAGCTTCCCTCCAAT